TGCTAAGTTTTTCTTTCCTGGTGACATGGTGATATAATGTCGTAGAAGAATGTTTTTTTTTTTTTTGGGATCTACAAAACCTTAAACGCTGATGATCATGGATGGAAGGGTATCGAACGCGAGAGTCAGCTTACATCCAAGACCTCGCCTCTACGGAATATATATGCCCTAATGAAAGCGTGTGTTGGCACTTTTAGTTCTCGTTTAGTTTTGCCTGTTTGAGATTTTGTTTCTTCGGAGTATAGCTCTCAAATTTAGATTCTGTAGGGATCCTAAAATAAAATTGTGTATGCAGGTCGGGACATGGCAAAAAGAACCCCCCCAAACGAAAGAGCTAGGGAACAAGAGGATCCCGCCGGTGAATACTTCCAAAATTATTTTGTGAAAATTAGCTGCCAACCACCGTCACCGTTGCTATCCGATATGTATTGCTTGATTAGCTACACCACAGTACATGCTACAAAAGGTATTTCTAATATACGATGTTTACAACATATTGTATACGATAGTTTCTTTAGGGTATGTTGATAAAGAAACGATAAGCCGCATAGCAAACGGCAATATGCCTGATCGCCAGAATTATCAAGTATCGGAGTAGTATGCTACCGTCTTTCACTACTAACCAGCGGTTTACTGCAACATAAGGTTAATCAATCCAATGCCTTTCTAATTAAGAAATATAATAAATTTTCGGTCGGTGATTTCCCATCACTATCTCTTTATCCTATCTACATAACATTCTATATATCTAGTATACATTCTTTACTTTATTTTCTTAACAACTTCTTTCTATCTTTTTTCCTATAATATTTTCTTAAATAATATAGCAAATTCAGATTATTTTAATTTTACTTAAGAGCGTTTTTTTCGCTACATACACCCTTCTTCTTAGCTGTAGGCTCTAATATCGTCTCTGACAAAATAAGCTGTAAAAAGGGCATAGCTGGCCGGACGGGCAAATAAAACACCTTCATCGGTCGGTGATGCTATTTGAAAATTGTATATTTTAACTAGGCTTTTAGCATTTAATTTTCAATATGTATAATGTATTGAATAATTGGGAAGACACTCGTTTTGTCGACCATTAATAATTAAACAAATAAATAAAATAAAAAGACAAGGATCACTGGCCACCAGTATTTCATCCAGGAAGATTTTAGCAGGTAGCAACGAAGGAGAGAAACAAATGTTTTAATTTATGCCTGAAACAAGGTGAAATAACACAAAGAAGAGGAAGGGATGTCTAATAACTGGGTGGTGATCATTTAAACAATTCACGCATCCAGTGGACTTGGGGAATCTGGGAACGAATGATTGTCGCCCGACTTGCAAGGCTTATGGATCACACTCACTCTTATATAATGGAGCGAAAGTTCGAAGTCAAAGTTAGAGCAGCAATCTCTCCTGCCCGCAAAATGAAGGCGGGTGTCCCCCAAGGCAGCGTACTGGGCCCCTTTCTCTACAACTTGTACACGGCAGACATCCCCACACCGGATGAACTACACGAGTTTGCCACCCCAGGCAAATACTTGATGGCCACATTTGCCGATGATGTGGCAATATTTTACTCCGCCCACGGCGAGTTTGAAGCCACTGACGGTGCCCAGGAATACATCCACTTGCTTGAGAGCTGGACACGCAGATGGAACATCAAGCTCAATGCCTCCAAATGCCAGGCGGTCAACTACACACTGAGGCGTGGCAAGGCTCCAGCAGTCTGGATAGACGGTAGCCCCCTCCACCCTGGCAGAAGTGCCAAGTATCTTGGAATTGTGCTGGATAAGAGGCTTAGTTTTCGGGCGCACATCGACGGCCTTCTTAAGCAGTGCCGCTATAAGATGGCCAAGGCCAACTGACTACTAAACCCCAACAGCCCATTGCCGCTTCGCTGCAAACGGGCAGTTTACAACGTCGTGGTGGCACCAACTTGGAGATACGGTATTCAGGTTTGGGGCATTGCATCTCGGACAAATCGAAGACGGATTCAGACACTCAAAAACTTGGCCTTGCGCCGAATTACGGGTGCTGACTGGTACGTCAGAAATTCTACCTTGCACAGAGACCTCAAAATGGAGACCATAGACAGCCAAGTCGGAGCATTCGCCAACCGGTACAGCGAACGCTTGCAGCGACACTGCAGCCGGGTAGCAAGAGACCTCGCTGGGAGGTGTGTAGTCAGGAGTCTCAAGAGAAGATCGTTTAAGGACCTCCTCCAACCACGACATAGGAGACGCCCCAGAGTCCCCCGACTACCTACATGACGATGCAGCCTTACTCAAAAAAGCCGCCTTTGACGTTTGTCCACGATAAAGCCTGAGGACCCAACCAGGCTTGGCGTAATATCACCTAAGCCAACTGTGTTGTAATAAAAATGTATGTTATTTTTGATTCAATACATTAAACAAACAAAAAAAAAAAAACAAAAAAAAAATATTTTGTTTCCACTTAGCGGAACTCATCCACGTTATAAACTCGCATCCAGCAAAAACGTCACAAAATAATTGATAATACAAGGATAGTTCACAATAAATTCTGTTGATTGCGGTGTTAGTTTATCCAGCAATCAGAACTAATAGACATGCGTTTATTTATTGTTTTTATAAGGCTCGGCCTTGAGCTATTTAGAAGTTCTAGGTTCTAGTTCTCCATAGCCTTTCAACAATAAACAAGGACAAAGTAAATGGAACCATGTTCCAACTGATGTTATCGATTGAAAAAAAAATTTCTCTATTATATTTTAGATCGGTGATTGCCGGATCGGGCCCCACGTTGAAGCCAAAATATTTACTATTAATTTAAATTTTGCGCCACTACTGTAAGGAGCAGAGCTGATATGCATAGCATCCGCGACTAGGTGAAACGCTCGCTTGTTGTTACCGTTGCTTATTCAGGCAATAAACAACAATAGTTTAAAATTGTTGTACGCATGCTCAGGTGGCTGTTAGAAAAAGCATGTTTTTGTTCGTGAACCTGCTGAGTGATACCCTAGGTAAACAGAACAAGTGTAAATTATAATGAGACACTTCAGCAGATCCAGCAATAAATGTACTTTCGGCGGTGTCCATACTGAAGTGATATTTGTACATATGTTTAAGGGCAATGTTAATTTTACTGTCGCATTATTTTTAAATGAATTAAAGTTTTAAAATTTTCATTCGCCAACAAAAATCACTTTGCCTTTCACTTATTTTGAAATCGGCAACTTTTCGCTTTAACACACGATACCCAACGCAAAGAAAAATTAAACAAGTAAAAGGCTCCAGTCGGGAGCTCCCGACTAGGGAATACCCTGAACCCTCTTCTACGAACACCAAATGACGCTACGCGCTCGTTTGCTTCAGCAGAAATAAAAATACATTTGAGAAAAATAACTATTTCCTCGATAGGTCTCGAACTCGTAACATACCACACTTTTTGCAAAAACTCTACTCAACAGCCACGCCAGGAATTGAATCTTAACGAGAAAAAAACGGATTCAAATTTCAGTTATAGCTTTGGTGGTAGCGGGGAGAAGGCGATAGCTATAAAATGAATAATATTTTATATATATATATACTATTCTAGAAGAAACTTATCATGTTTGGGCGGGCACTAGGAGGACCTACGGTCCAAATTTAAAGTCTCTAGCTCTTCTAGGTTCCGATATCCTTGTGTTCATACGTACGGACAGACGGACGGACGGATGGACGGACGGACGTACATGGCTAGATCGACTCGGCTCATGATGCTGATTATATACAGAGATTATATACATACAAATACATTATACCACTAACTATACACTGCATATATATCTCAAACAGCAGAATAAACATCTCTTTTCCCAGCATAGCTTCTTCAAAACCCCGAGATCTACAAATATATATAGGTTTGTGTTGTGTGGATGTGCGCACAATTAGATCGCGGCGTTTGTCGCGAGCCAGAGGTTTTTTCTTCAATTGTGTGCCCTTTTTCGATCATGTATTTCTTCGTCGTCAGGCATAATGAGAAGAATCTGATTTACTTATATTTCATAAAAACTTAAATGACCCAAATAAAATATTTATATTTTATATTCTAATATTTTTGTTTACTGTGGGGGCCTATTTTGCTTAAAATCAAAAAAATAACTAAGTCGTATTTCTGCAAGGGTAAATCGTCGTCGGCTTGTCGAAGAATTTCTCTACTGATATCAATCACCATCCAGTCGCTTTGAGAACGTGGTTAAGAAAGAGGATTAGAAGTTGTCCACTTCAACCAGGTATCGACATCCAAAAATGCAATCCTGTGAGAGTTTATTGTAACTTAGTCGTTTTTGCTGCTAAGCAACATGTTGCAGGACAATAGTTAATATAGTCTCCTTGTGGGCTTAAGCGGCGGGGACGATTCGAGGGAATTGTGGGAGGTCGAATCGGTAACTCCCGCATAGGGAAGATTAAGATTAGGCTTTTACGGCAACAGCACGTCAAACCCAAAACATCAAATATGTTAGTAGTTATATATAAGACTTACCAGCAGCAACTACTAGGGCCAGCTAAACACAGAAATGCACGAAGCACAATGTCACAATTCAATTGTTTAATACGGAACATGCACAAGCTATTCCCGAGATGGTAGCAGGTATTAGGAGTTCATATAAAAGTCAGTGATTAATCACAAATGGTTTGGTAACAATCAATGATAATTCGCTTCGGCGCAGCTTGAATCTTTTTGTCGTATTAAAAATAAAAGTATTGGCTGTCAGTTTTAAAATCTAAAAAAAAATTTTCATCTATGTAAAATCACTAACCAAATAGCATATAGACTGGACAAACAGTAAAAAGAGAGTAAGAATACATATGAGCTGTGTCGTAGAACGGCATCGCTGTCTTTTTATTCGCTCACTTCACAGGAAACTGCTTTGGCTTACTCTCATCATTACGGACGAATTGCTGGACGGGTCTTATATAAAATTGCTGTGTAACGGATCTGTTAGTACAAACAAATAATTTTGTAAATAAATACTTTATTTAAATTTGTAACTAAGAACACAAGCAAGTATTTTCTAAATTAGATTTTATCCAAGGAATAAATTTACTTATACGTGTGTAAACGCCTGGATAACCTTCTCGTCCGCATCCAACACCCCACGATACAATACCTACTATAAAATATTTTACACCATTCGATAATAAGAGAGGTCCACCACTATCCCCTTGACAAGAGTCCATATGAGGCCTTCCAGCACATAACATAGTTGACGTTATTCGCGAGCTTTTATATTTTTGAGTTCGGCATTCAGCAAGAGACATTATTGGCACTTTTACTTGATTAACGATTGAAGGTAGCTCTCCTCCTTCGGATGTACGGCCCCAACCAACGACAGTTCCTATACGTCCTAGAAGAAGAAAAACAAAAATTTGTTAGATACATTTGCTAGACTGACTTGATTTCTATCTGGATTGCCTTAATTTTTTTAGTATGTCACAAATCCTACTTCAAAGACTTTCAGCTCACGCTACGAGCTCGCTTACATCAATAAAAATTAATTAAAAGCAAGTAAGACGCTCTAGTCGGGAAATCCCGATTAAGGAACTACAGGTCATAAACAGAATACAAAAAGGAACAAAATAAAACAAGTAATAGCCTTTTTCCACTATGCTTAAGAAATGTCATATTTTCAAATTTCACATATTTGTGTTCCATTGGCAAGTGTCGGTTGTCGGTAACATGTGAGTAGGAAATGTATATAACAGCTGATCGAGTTGCTTCGATTTATCTAAGCGCCGCAAAGTTTTCCTGTCAAAAGTCATAAACACTACCTCGAAGTAGGGGCTCCATTTCATGGGCTCTTTGACCATCTTTTAAGGTTAACAAGTAAGAGGTTCTAGTCAGGAGCTCCCAACTAGGGGATACCCTGAACCCTCTTCTTCGAACACCAAATGCAGCACGCGCTGGTAATAAAGAAAAATGAAAATAAAAAAAAAAATTGTTCCCTTGTCAGGGTTCGAACTCGCTACCAACCGCATCACTTGCCGTTGCCTCTACTCAAGAGCCATGCCAATAATTGAGTTTTAATGAGAAAAAAACCAATTCAAATAGCAGCACAGAAAACAATACAATCGCAATTGCGATGCTGTTAATAGAATTCAAATCAGAGGCGCATGAATGTGTGTGTGTACATGTATACAGAAATTCTTGCAATTTGCGCAGCAGCTATGCTGCTAGCACGTGCGCACATCACTTTTGTGTTTCTTAACCGATCCTAATGAAATTTTCGACAGTACATCTTAATGTAGAATAGAAAAAAGAATATTTGTGTATTCTCAAAAATTCAATTGCATATAAATTGTGGCTTAAACTGATGGGCAATACAAGTTGGAAAATTAACTTGATTTTTAGCTTTTCGGTGGTAGCGGGGAGGTGGCGATAGGTATACAATGAAAGATACTTGATATATATATATACTATTCTAGAAGCTACATGTCAAGTTTGGTGACTCTAGCTCCTATTATTTGACGAAATTGCTCAAAAAACAGGATTTCGATATCGATTGTTATCGATTACTTGGAAACGGGGCAAGTTATCGAATATCGGAAACAAACTCGATCTGCGCGGGCATTAGGAGGACCTACAGCTAAAATTTAAAGTCTCTAGCTCTTATAGGTTCTGATATCCTTGCGTTCATACATACGGACGGACGGACGGACGGACAGACGGACATGGCAAGATCGACTCGGCTATTGATGCTGACCAAGAATATATCTACTATATGGGGTCGGAAATGCTTCCTTCTGCCTGTTACATACATTTGCACAAATACAATATACCCTGTTTACCCATTTTTAATGGGTTCAGAATATTAAAACTGTGGGATTATTAAAATTTAAAATTATAATTTAAAGTTACCTTGCCTTCGTTGCTATATCAGCTGTTTATGTTAATGATACTTTCACATTTTTCACAACATTGACAGAAAACTCGATAAATCATCGCAAAAATCTCAAACTTTTCGGGGCGAATTTACACATTTTTAAAATTTTTAAAAAATGTGTCATATGTTTTTTTTTTATGGGAAAACGTACAAGCCGCGTTTTACACGTTTTCCAAATTCGTCACATTTTCAACACACATTTTGAACCCGTAACCGACTGCACTAATTGCTACCGCCTCTACTCGACAGCCTGTTTGTATGACTTCATTTTTGATGAAAAAAAAACCAATTAAAAAAGCAAAATATTACACACAGCACATAATACAATACAATCGCAATTGTAATGCTGTTTATAGAATTCAATAAAGATGTGTGTGTTAATGTATATAGAAATTCTTGCAAATTGCTCTAGCTGCCTCGATCACATGTCAATATAAGCCCACGTTTTCTTTTATAACTTCTGCGTTTCTTGACCGATCTTCGTGAAATGTTCGGCAGAACTTATTGTACTATAGAATATTTGTTTATTCTCCTAGGCAATTGCCTTCAATGTAGCCAAAGTGTAATAAATATCTGTTTATTAATCAATGCAATGTAGCCATTAAGTAATAAAGAGACAGAGCTGAATAGTCACTCTGAGCTTTTTTTACCATTTTAAAGTTCATGAGCGGTGGATTTATCTATCCGTCTATGCAGACGAAACGCATGCAGAGTTTGAGAGTGAAGGTTTTGTAACAATTCGGAAAAAGCAAAAGAGGAAACGGGCAAACAATAACAACAAGTTTGTTGTTGGTGAAGCGCCTGATTGCGCTGTGCGACACACATTGCGATGTGAAAAGTTATGGCTAAATTACTATGATTCTACACTGGACCAGTTGGCCGTGCTTGTGGACGGCGGCACTTACACTATTTGTATATGTGCCTCATATATACCGCCTAACAGCCCTTTCGAGCTATACAAAGCGCCATAGACAACATTCGCAATATTCACCAAAGTCTGGACACCCGATGGTCGCTATGCGTTATGGGCGATTTCAACCTCGGCAACCAGGCATGGTCGTCGTTTCCTAATTCCACATCTTACGTGCCATCCAATGTTCATCATCAACACGAAATTGTTGTTATTGATGAATTATGTAGTATGGGATTATCTCAAATTAATAAAATTTGCAATCAATTGCATCAAATATTAGATCTAGTTTTTCTGAATTTAGATGTTAATTTTAATTTAAGTAAATGTTTAAACCCTCTAACTAGTAGTGACATGCATCATGTTCCTATCCTATTGTTAGTCAAATTTTATACATTCTTGCCTCTTACACAGTCATATAACATATATGACTTTAATCTTATTCACTGCAATTTTAATATTATCAATAACTGTTTTTCTACACTCAATTGGCAGAGAATCTTATCGCATAGCAATTTGGACTACTGCTTTGATAATTTTATTTCAGCTCTTCATCATGTTCTGCATGATCTTGTCCCACGGAAAAGGCAGGGTTTGCATAGTTTGCCTTGGTACACAAAGGGTCTAAAAAAACTGAAAAACTTACGCAACAAATTTTTTAAGAAATTCTGTAAATATCGGAGACCCTCCGATTGGGAAAGATATTCTCTACATAAGCGAGAAATTTGAATTTTTTAACAAATTTCTCTATAACTAATATATACTACACATCGAGGATGGGATTAAGACTTGCCCAAAAAAGTTCTGGTCGTTTGTCAATTCGAAAAGAACAACCTCCTCGATTCCGTCAACTATGACTCTTGGGACGCTGTCAGCTGATTCTTTGCCAGATATTTAAGTTCGAACTTTCAAAAATGTTATAATTGCGACGAGGGTTCTTCCCATTAGCTCCATTCCTAACATTTTAAATTTAGGAAATATTATATTTTCCAATGAAGATTTCTATGCAGCCGCTAGTAGCCTTAATAACTCTTCTCGATCGGACTGTGATAGTATATCAGCACTTCTTCTAAGTTCATGTATAACATCTCTGTATGAGCCTTTACAAATACTTTTTGCCAAATCCCTCTCTGCAGGATTATTTTTAAAAAAGTGGAAAAATGCTACAATCACGTGAATTTTTAAAGATGGTAGGAAATGCGATATTCGTAATTATAGGGGCATTGCAAAACTAAGTAATATCTCTAAATTATTCGAGCGTATGGTCGTCAAACATATCTCCTTTTTAATTAAACCGTATATGGATCCTAGACAGCATGGCTTCTCGCCGGGCAGATGTCCAGTGACCAATTTAGCGATTTTCAACAACTTTTGTATCCAGAGCTTTGGGCGGCGTTGTCAGGTTGATGCAGTGTATACTGATTTTTCTAAAGCCTTCGATAAGAAGGTCATGTCGTTCTCGTTAAGAAACTGTCGAAGGTTGAAACCCCACCTCTTCTTTATTAAGCTGGTTAAAACCCTATCTGTCTGAACGTCATTATCGCGTACGCATCAACAATACTTTGTCCGCAACTTATGTCACATCTTCAGGGGTACCTCAGGGGAGTTGTCTTGGTCCGCTCCTATTTAACTTGTTTATTATTGATATAGGGAGTTGCTTCCGTTCGTCCGATTATCTATTATTTGCCGATGACCTTAAAATATTCAACTGCATTTCGTCTCAGCATTATGTAATGGTTTTGCAGAAGGACTTACACAACTTGTCTGAATGGTGTAGTCATAACGAACTTAGCTTAGCTAAATGCACTGAACTTAGCTAAATGCATCACATCACATTTAGCAAATGTTTTTCTGCCATTCTTTCATCCTATTCCATTAACGGGCAAGAACTTACTCGTAAATCAGAAGCTTTGGACTTAGGAGTAAGTTTTGACTCTAAGTTCTTATTCATTCAGCCTATAAACTATATTATGCCTAAGGCGTATGCGATGTTTGGGTTTGTTAAAGACCCGTTCACAAGATTATCTCTATATTCGGCCTTTGTGCGGTCAATATTAGAGTATGCTTCTTATATCTGGAGCCCATCCGAAATTGTGCATACAAACAGGATTGAAAGGCTGTAAAAACAGTTTTTAAAATTTAATTTACATTGCCTTAACTTTGCTAACCCTTTACCGCCATACCGAGCTAGGTGTCGACTACTACATTTCTCTGGAAGATAGGAGAATGATTTCAGCACTGCTTTTTCTAAACAACTTAATTTTAATGTGCCGAGCAGATTTTTGCGATACCATTTGCCGTTTTCTGCGAGGACTCATAGAACTGCTTATGCAAGTAACGAGCCTATGATCAGATCACTAAAGCTTTATAATAGTCTACCAACTGAAATGCGTTTTGATTTTTCTGCCAATAGTGCTCAAGTTAAAAATAAGCGTAAAGAATTCTTCCTTTAAAACTTATTAATTCCACATCTTGTTTAAGCTTCATATTTTCTGTTTAGTTAATTAGTTATTTAAGATAATATTTTGTAATTTATAATAACCTGAAAGCTACCAGCATTGGTTAATAAATAAATAAACATAAAAAATTATGACGTCACATTTCATAGATCTTTATTCCTTGTGATGTGTATATATATATTTTTTATATTTTTTATCAAAATGTCTGAGTTGAGACACACATACTAATAACTGTTTGGCGCGTCGAGGGATTGATACCCTTATTTATATTAATAGTGTGCACTGTTTAAAGAAAATAATTATTACTGATTGACTATTATACAAATAGTTGCACAGTTAATACGAAATTATATTTGAGTAGACATTGGATCAAAAATTATATATTAGAAGGTTTCTGCTATTTAGCTACAGCACTGGACAATAGTCAAAATACCCTATTTAGAGAAAGGGTGCTTCACTGATCCAAAAATGAAAAATTATACAAATCTGCTGCTTGCAAGTTGAAAGTGAGTGGAAAAGAAGAAGACATGACTTTGGGACTTTGCGAATTATAGGCATAGCAGTGTTTAGAAACCACAATAATGAGTTAGAAGAGTGCAGAAGCTAGGATCATAGGCTGTAGCTTCAAACCGAAAAGGGATAGCAGGGACAGAATCAGAAAGCCTAAGGCTTTTTGTGTGTGATCGTTGCGTTCAGTAAATTAGCACATATGTAAATAAATTTACTATTATATAACCCCTATTATTAAATTACTTAAATGAGCGTTATAAAGATAGAAATATATATATTCTAAGCAACACAAGAAATGAAATTTTACAAAATGTGACCTCATAGTATATGATGTTGGTGCGCTGTGTGCGTTACCTTTTAATTTGAATGCCATGGCTTGCTGGCATTCGAATTTTTTACCTACATACTTGCACCGGGACTCGGTTCTGCAAGTACCCAAATTGTGTTGTTGTTGTTGTTTTTACGCGCTGCCTTGTAGGAACGACAGAGAAACCAACAACAAACACAGTGGCGTTATCTGTCCCATTTCTTAGCACTGATTTTCCTATGACCTCAAAATCTTGCTTCAGAGTTTCAGCGTTCAAAACGGACGACGAAAATGAAATGGGGTTTCATTGGCACTGTTGTTGTATTGCAGCTGATTTGTTGTAGCTTCCTATGGTAAATTAGCTTTATTTCTTGAGTTTGATTTTGCGTTAGCGGACCAACCTTATCGGTAGATAGCAAGGTATTGCTTCAGAATTAAAACTGTAATAAAAGCTCGGAGTCAGTTTTCAGCTCTGTATCTGTTTATTACTCTATGGGGGTGACGGTAGCTATAAAATGAAAGATACTTGGGATCGATAATTGGATTATCGGAAACAAGGTTTGCACAAAAAATAATACCTGTTTTACCCATTTTCAATGGATTCAGGATAGAAAATCAAATGAAAACGAGAAAGAAGGGCTACCTTCGGCACGCCGAAGATTTAATACCCTTGCAGACCCAACCTTTTCATAATGCTCATAGTGCTTTGGCCGTATCTAAGAAGCACAGAAAAAATAGTTAAATAGTAAAGAAAAACAAAAAAGTTTTGCATACAACAACTTAATTTTCGGCCGGTCGTTCCTATTACAGCCATATTATAACGTGGTCCGATGTTGATAGGTTACGCGTATATAAATTAACCAATACGGATATTAATAATAAAAAAATATTTATTTATTATTTCTTCATTTTATTTCTTTAAAGGCAGCACTATGTGTTACATTGAGTTTCTATTCCAAACTAAATTTTATGTCTTAATTAATTCCTAATATATTCTATATTCTTCTATATTCTCAGTCCAAAGAGGACATTTCTATGGAAATGAACCAATTCTGCATTTCTCGGGGGATCGCATATATTGGGAACCAACGAACTTTATTGGTTCCGCTGATTCCACAATTATTGTAATGTGTAATAAATATGCCGAATTAGCGATCCCACGGCTGGTTGCCCAGCGAGCACGTTGACCACGAAAGCACCTAAAGTTGCATACGCGACACCTTGTGTTAGCTTTTTCCAGCACGTTGACTGGCCACGTGCGGGAACCATATGTGAATACAAATTTGGGAAAGGTGCATGATCAGCGCTAGAAAACTAACAAAATTGATTTCTTTGCCAGCCAAAGCCAAAGTGAATAACAATATATATGTATATACATACATACATATTTTAATGTAGTTGTGCACGCATAATTCACACATACAAACATAGGTGCTTGAACGCCATTGGCTGAGACAAGAACTTCTTTCGAGCATACACTGTCCAATAACAAATTTTTTTATTTTTTTTTTGTTTGTTTGTTTTTTGTATTGAATCAAAAATAACATACATTTTTATTACAACACAGTTGGCTTAGGTAATATTACGCCAAGCATAGTTGATTCCTCAGGCTTTATCGTGGACAAACGTCAAAGGCGGCTTTTTGAGTAACGCTGCATCGTCACGTAGGTAGTCGGGGGACTCTGGGGCGACATCTATATCGTGGTTGGAGGAGGTCCTTGAACGATCTTCTCTTGAGCCTCCTGACTACACACCTTCCAGCGAGGTCTCTTGCTACCCGGCTGCAGTGTCGCTGCAAGCGTTCGTTGTACCGGTTGGCGAATGCTCCGACTTGGCTGTCTATGGTTTCCATTTTGAGGTCTCTGTGCAAGGTAGAGTTTCTGACGTACCAGTCAGCACCCGTAATTCGGCGCAAGGACAAGTTTTGGAGTGTCTGAATCCGTCTTCGATTTGTCCGAGATGCAATGCCCCAAACCTGAATACCGTATCTCCAAGTTGGTGCCACCACGACGTTGTAAACTGCCCGTTTGCAGCGAAGTGGCAGTGGGCTGTTGGGGTTTAGTAGCCAGTTGGCGTTGGCCATCTTATAGCGGCACTGCTTAAGAAGGCCGTCGATGTGCGCCCGAAGCCTCTTATCCAGTACAATTCCAAGATACTTGGCGCTTCTGCCAGGGTGGAGGGGGCTACCGTCTATCCAGAATGCTGGAGCCTTGCCACGCCTCAGTGTGTAGTTGACCGCCTGGCACTTCGAGGCATTGAACTTGATGTTCCATCTGAGTGTCCAGCTCTCAAGCAAGTGGATGTATTCCTGGGCACCGTCAGTGGCTTCGTACTCGCAGTGGGCTGAGTAAAATATTGCCACGTCATCGGCAAATGTGGCCATCAAGTATTTGCCTGGGGTGGCAAACTCGTGTAGTTCATCCGGAGTGGGGATGTCTGCCGTGTACAAGTTGTAGAGAAAGGGGCCCAGTACGCTGCCTTGGGGGACACCCGCCTTCATTTTGCGGGCAGGAGAGATTGCTGCTCTAATTTTGACTTCGAACTTTCGCTCCATTAGATAAGAGCGCAGAAGTAGAAAGAAGGGGGCGGGAAGACTCATCTTGGTTGTCTAGAGCAATCCATCAATCCTGACTCGGTAGAAGGCCTGCTTAACGTCTACAAAGACTCCATAGCAGTAGTCTTTGTCGTCGTAAGCCTTAAGAATATGGTTAATCACTCTGTGAACCTGTTCAACAGCGCCATGCCCTCCCCTGAATCGAAATTGGTGATCAGGAAGGATGGCCATGTGATCCATAAGCCTTGAAAGTCGGGCGACAATCAGTCTTTCCCAGACCTTCGACAAGGAAGGCAGGAGACTGATCGGCCGATATGACTCAGGGTCATATTCCGGCTTGCCCGACTTATGGATCATATGGATCCTCGCTAACTTCCACTGGGCAGGGAAGTGTTGCTTCCTTAATATGGCGTTGAAGATTAACGTTGTAAAAAGGAGCTCGCGCATTGGTAAGGCCTTCAGAGTGGTGTGGCATATTCCATCATGGCCCGGTGCTTTAGCCCTGGGAAGGACTTAGACGACGTTGATCACCTCCTCCACGCGGATGGGGCCGATAGGTGGTGACACCTGTATCGGTGTCTCCAACGCTCGGGTTGTTTCATCGAGCTCTTCTGAGGGCAGTATCTACGGCAGTATTTACCATTGTGGCGAAGAAGGGGAACGGTTCTCCAGGGTTGGCGCTTCGGGTTTTTAATTGCTCGCCGAGTATCCTGAGTCATGGGTCTTTGTGTCTGCGAAGGGCCTCCTTGAGTTGCCGCTACGCTCTTCGCCACTCCGCCTTGTCCCACGGATGCTGTGTCATCTGGAATCTGCGTCTGCTCCGCCTTTCGATCCTGAGCAGGTTGTCCATGTCTGCGGGCAGCCTGTTGCCAGCATTGTCCAGCCGCCTGGCAACTGGTGGGGAGGTGGCTTCGGCTGCTGCTGCGCGAATCTTTGCGTTGAGCAGCCCAATGGCGTCCTCTACATCCCGTCCAGTGCAGATTTCGGTTTTGAGGTGAATACTTTCACTCATCTGTCTCTGGAAGACACCGAGATCAATGCGTGCGTTGATCAGCCTCGGTATTGCGCTGACCAGCCTGGCCCTGCTCTCCAGGGTAACTATCAGGGCCAGGTGGTCGCTGGGGAGATCCCAATCGTCAGCGATTGAGAGGCACTGGTCAGGGATCCCCTGGTAGATGGCGAAGTCTATACAAGACGGAGTGCCTCGGCTGCCGTACGGGTATCTTGTGGGAGAACCTGTGCCCAGTACTTTCGCTTGACGGTGCGCTAGGCTGCTAGCATTGCTGCTATTTGCGCCCCACACCCAGTGATGTGCATTCCAGTCGCCTCCCACCAGATATCTGCTTCCAACCGAGTTGAGTATGACGTTGAAGTCGTCAGTCGACGTCTGCTCATTTGGTCTGCAATAGACTGCTCCAAAGTCCACGTTACCAGCATTAGTGGAGACTTTCACAGTCGAGTATTGGTAAACACGGTTAGTAATAGTCAATTGCGGAAAGTGAACCAAGTTACTCCGAACGCGGACAGCGCAGCCACCGCTAGCTGAGCGATCTTGGGTCCAGTGTACAGGATATGCATCGAAGCCAAAGATTTTAGGAAAACTTGGACCGTTGGTTCTAGTTTCTGACAGCAGAATTATTCCGATTGCGTATTTTTGTACTAGGGCCTCCAGCTCTAGTACTTTACCTGAAATGCCATTGGCATTCCAGATTAGCACCTTCAGTGGTGTGTTCATTTGGATAGTAACGCGGTTAAAAGGGTAAGGATTTGCTGTTGCCGGTACTGAATCGGGCCGTGTGCAATCAGCAGAGCGATGATTGAGCCCGCATTTAACGCATTTGTGTTGCTTTCTACAGTATGTGGCTGTCTGCCCGTACTCCTGGCATCTATGGCATTGCACCACATCCTGGCTTCTTCGGGCAGTCTCAACCTTGACCACCTGCTTGCATAGCTTCCTGATGTTAAGAGCCTCCTTGTTGTTGGCCGCCGGCTGCAAGTTGATGAAGTGGATGTTCATGGGCTCCTTGGTAGCTTTGCTGCTCGGATTGTGCACGTGGAGAACGGTGTGGCCCTGGGTCCGCAGGTCGTCGACGAGTTCGCGGTTGAGTGTGGAGTGGTGGAGGCCTTTGATAACTATGCGATAGGGCTTCTCCTCCTGCAGCTGGTATTAGTAGAACTCAATTTTGTGTTCATCCAGTATCTGTATGATGGTCCTGTATGTGGGCACATCATTGGCTAGGAGTCGCATAGTCCTACCTAGGTTGGATTTGATGGTCAAGTTATCCGCTACTTCGGATAGTAGGAGCCACACGTCGTTGATGTCGCTGACCCGATTAAGAACGATGGGGGGTGGCTTCTCCCTCCAGTGGGGGCATTGTTGTTGGCCCTTATTTCGGGCACGGAGGAGCTGGTGCTGGCATGGGCTACAGCGTTGAGCTGGCTGCCGCCCCCAACCTGACGAGTCGCTGAGGCATGCAATTTCTCTTCTTGCTCGGCCTCAGATTCGTCAGTATCCATGTCTTCGACGTTATCGGGTGGGGCCAAGAGTGCATATCTATTGGAAGCATCAGTGCCATCTGGACAGGTGTCAGTTTTGTTCAGTTTTCGCCGCGCAGCAGGTGGGGTCCTGCTGTCTGAGACTTTGCGCTTGTCATTAGTTTTTTTTGCCTGTGCTTGAATCATTGATGGCCTCTACTATTTGCACTGGGGCGTCAACGTCTATATTTGTGCTAGCAGCAGCATGTGGGCTGCTGCCGGAGTCTTCGGATTCCATTAGAGGGTAGGAAGGGGAGACTGAATTACTTCTTCCAGACATCAGCGCGGAGAATTTATTAGCAGCTGTTGCTAAGCGGCTGTTAAGTATTAAGGTGTTCGGCGGCGTAGCGGAGTCAGCATTTAGTTGGCCTACCTCATTAGTTCGAGACGGCCCCTTGTTATTTATTGTGGGTGCATTGCTGTTGTCAGCACTCACTGGAATTTTTGCTCTATTGGCATTGCCGCTGGTCGGGTGCATGTCAGCACGGCAACGAAGTCGACTTGCTCAATTTGTGACCACCTTATTTTGTGTTTGATTTGGTTTCGATCCACCTAAAACAAATTGCTTTGTCAGCAATTAGTTTTGTTTTAATTTTTGTCGTTTTTGTGAAATTATTGGTGCTTTGCACTCTTTGTGCAGAGTTGCAATAGCCGCTTTGGGCGTTTGGGGGCGCACTCGAGTTTTGGTTATTAATTGTTTTCCGCGAGCACGTCCGTTCATCTTAAACACCGAAAAGTGACTTCAATAACAAAAGTGAAATCAATCTATGTCTGATATTTTCCTAACGTAGTTATTGCACAAGATGCGTTTTGTGAAAAAATTATTTTATTCTTTAATTTTCCTGTAAAATTTATCGTTAGTATCATTTAAACAAAGCATGCATTTCATGGATAAAGCAAAAGTACTTTGCGTCGATCGTAAGTTTACAAATTTTTCGCTCAATGTACTTCGAAAACGAAGCGACGCAAAGCACCATCGACCAGCTTTGCCGAAGTCAGGCTGGCGACTAAATTCGTTGCTCGTTTCAGAATCAGCAAGCCGCGACTTCGGCATTCGTTCTTTTGAACGAACAGCAGTCGGCTAGCATGTCGTTTGAAGTTATAAAAGCCTGATAGGAAGCCAGGTTAGATATTTTGCGTCGTATGGCTTTCGGTTTTTTCTCCTCGTCCTTTAATGAGCATAGAGCACGGAACCTTTGCTCTAAATACTCCATTACGTCGGGCAATTATTGAACTTCTTTTATTCTTTTCACATGATTTTCATATGATTGCAAAGTTACTCTATTAAACTTGCGAATAATCATGTGTGCAAAAGTTACATCAAAATCTTCTGATAAGACCAATTTTATTAAATATATTGAATCATTAATTGAATCAATTAATGCTTTAATGAGCTTGTTTTTTATAATGCTTGGTTAACAACTCTATTGGCAAGTGCGACACCATGCATCTTGCTTCTCCTTTTAATGCAGTTTTTTAATTGTTTATTTAATTTTAAAATTTATGAGATGGACCTAAATCCTCTCTTGATTGAACCAACTCTGTAAATAACTCGCCATAAGATCCCACTCTTTGGAATCCCCATAAAAGGTGAGTACCTGCATTTTCGGGAGCATTGGTAGCTCCTCTGTTTTTAATTGGTAACCCCCAATTTTTGCTTAAGAATTGTCATTTGTTTGTTCTGCTAGCTTTTGTACTATGTTTTTTTTTACATCGAATCCTAGGGTTTTAACCTCCCTATCGAAAATAATACAGTATTTTTTTCTAACATATTTTTCCCCAAAGGAAACATTTTACTATTGTTTTCTTTAATTTCTATCTGCGATTCGTTTAGATATTTGTTTAGCTTCTCTACCTGCCTATCGAACTCATCTGCCTCATTATCCACTGTTTTGTTTGACAACATATATTTTTTTTTACTTTTTTAAACAATTGATAGAATTTAAAAGTTGATAGAATTCAAACCAGACGCGTATTAATGTGTGAGGGTACATGTATACAGGAATTCTTGGAATTTGCGCTTGCTCCACCAAACTCGAGGCCAGCAATAACATGTTTTATTTAATAACTTCTTAACCGATAGTGATGAAATTTTTTACATTTTATTGTACTATGGAATATTTGTGTATTATCAAAAAGTCAATTGCATAAATTGGTGTTTTTACTTGATTTAAAGCTATATATATATACTATTCTAGAAGCTACATGTCAAGTTTGGCGACTCTAGCTATTATTATAGATAAAATTTCAAGTCTACTGATGCGGATAGTGCACGACGTTTCGTCGCGTTCTGTAATTACTACAGAAGATTTATACACAACTTCGCACAACACTCACGTCATTTGACTAGATTGTGCAGAAAGAATGTCAATTCGAATGGACAAAAGAATGCGAAGATGCATTTAAATATTTAAAAAGGGTTTTAATAAAACCAAAATTATTGCAATACTCTGATTCAGCAAATATTTTTGCATAACCACAGATGCAAGTAAACATGCATGTGGTGCTGTACTATCCCAAGAGTACAACGGTGTGCAATTGCCAATTGCATACGCATCCGGAGCTTTCACACAGGGAGAAAGCAATAAATCAACTACAAAGCAGGAATTAGCTGCTATTCATTGGGCAATTAAACACGTCGGACCATATGTTTATGGAAGCCATTTCTTAGTTAAAACAGACCATAGACCTCTAACCTATTTGTTTTCGATAAAAATCCCACATAAAAATTAGCCAGGATAAGCCTAAACTTAGAAGAATACCAATTTAGGATAGAATACCTCAAGGGGAAAGATAACCATGTAGCGGATGCATTATCCCGCATAAACATAGAGACACTAATTGAATAGGAAAATATTAATGGTTCAAACAAGATCATCAAAAAGACAGGAAAACATCTACGCAGATGACAAAATAAAATTTCAAAAAGTTCAAAAAGATCTAAAAGAGCCCAATGTCTATGAAGTCGTTAATAATAACGACAAAAAGAAATTTGTGAAACTAAAATACGGTAAAATAAATTGTTTACTTAAAAGAGGAAAACGAATCGTTTCACAATTTTCAGTTAATGATTTGTACACCAATGGAAAATTCGACTTAGGTCAATTTTTTCAAAGGCTTAATAAAGGATCCTATAGAGGGAGGCCATACAGGGATTATGCGTACCTTGTTAAAAATTAAGAAA